ACTTTTTAAAATTTGTTTTGTCGGAAATGCACTTTTTACTCATACGTTCTGATTTATTTTCTCACACCGGTACAACTTTTCTGCTTGAAGACGATGAGCTTATTGTATTTTTTCTTGTTTATTGGAATATTTCCCGTCACATTTTGACTTCTGAAACTCTTCTCAAAACATTTCATGTTTGTGGTCACATTCCAAATTTTTCTGGTAAAATTTGGAGTTTGTCCTCACGTTCTGGGTTTCGTTTTACCGCATGACCACATTTCTTCATATCTGGAGTGTCAAAAGATTTTATTCTCTGTCTTAAAGTTCCAATGTCATGATTGAAACGGCATTATTTTAAATCTCGGATTTTAATTTTTTCTTCAGATAAAAAGTGTACCTGGATCTTACAGTTGGCCTCCACCACCTGTAATTTCGTCTGAGCCAGCTCCTTCTCCAACTGCCTGATCTGAGCCTTGAGGGAGGCCCTCTCCTGGTTCTCCCGCCTCAGTTCCGCCTCGGTTGGACCCGAATGTTGCTGTTCCCATCCCGGCGCCACCGCTGCGCCGCGGTCATGTGAGGGCGAAGTTGGCGCGTCGGACCGGCAATCCGAGGCTTCGCCTTCTTGGTATTCCGCCACGTGATGAGAACAACGTGGACAGGCCTTCACTGCACTCTGCAATCGACAAAAAAAAAGGTTAAAATGAATTGCTGAATTCGAAGAATATAGTCAAAATGCTAGGAAAACACGAGTGAATTTGACTGTTGGAATGTGACGACAAATTTGTGAAGTGATGACGATAAAAAGTTTTTGGCAAAGTCACAATAAAAAAAAAAAAGGTTTAAAGTCAGTAATAATAATATAAATAAATTAAGTCTTACTGTTCGGATTCATTTTTAAAATTCTTGTCATTTTTTTTACGTATTTTTTCTCGTAACATGACTGACTTTCTCGCAGTATTGTGACTTTTTCGCAAAATTAAGATTTTTTTGAATCCATTTTTCTCCCTACAATTTTTTTTCCTCACATTAGAACTTTATTTCTGTGACATTAACAATTCCTTCTTGTAAACGTTTCTCAAAATGTCTTTATTTGTTTCTCCCAATACCGTGGTTTTTTTTTTGTTGTGACAATAAGATTGCTTTTGTCGTGTCAATGTAGCAAAACCACTTTTGGGGGGAAGAATGTGACTGTTTTTGAAACATTTCGACTCAAAATATTACAATTTTACTCCCATAACATTATGCTTTTTTTTCTTGCACGGTAAGACTATTTCTGACAGCATGACACCTTTTTTCTTGTAATATTACAATTTTTTCTTGTCGTGAATATCGTGAAAATTTCCTTTGATTTCTCGTGTGCTGAAATGTCACCTTGAGCGAGCGCACTTCTTGCGCGTGCGCGTCCTGTTGCCTCTCCAGACGAGTCGTCAGCTGAGAGCAGATCTAAAACGATGGGAGAGCATCAACATCATGTGACTTATGACATCATCAACGCGCGCCTTCTGGCAACGTACCTGCTTGTAGTCCGCGATGATGCCTGACGACCGCTTCACTTCTTGCTCGGCCCGCTCCAGCTCCCGTCGCAACACTTCCTTCAACTTTTAATAGCGGGGGCGGGGTTGGCTAGTCAAGGTTTGTATCTCCATAATTATTCTTATTATTAATTGGCTGTGAATGAAGTTTGGCGTGAACACTCCCACAGTGGCGCAGGCCGCCCACCCAAATGTAAAAAAAAAATAAAAAAATCTAACCCAGGGACAATTCGCAATCCATTGCAAATTTTTGAATGACCTGTCGCATGCAAGAAAATTAACATGACGACATCATTATGGGGACCTCGGTGGCTAAAGTTTGGACGTCCTCCCTAACATCAAGAGTGCGTCGCACCCACCATGGATGCCTCTTCATCCTTCCCTTGCTTCTCCTCCTCAGTGGCCTGCAGTTGACGTCGAGTCAGCATAAGGTCACTGGTGAGCTTCTCAACGCTGTCCTCCGCCTGGCAACATCACGACGACGTCAGATGAACAACATGAGAACATGTTTAATAAAATGTTTATGCATTTTGATGCGTCTACTTGCATGAACCAGACTGACGGGGAAAAAGGTGACGGACCACTGCTGTGTCTGCACTGTAATATTTGTGACTTTGAATGTGTGTGGCTTTAAAAGGCGGGCCCTGGCCTGGATGTTACTCTGCATAAGTTGTAGCCACCCACTGCTCGTGAATGAATGCGCTCGAACTGCAATAGATGGATTTATGGTCACAAATAGAGCAGAGTGAATCCACAATAACGGGACCACGACGTAGCAAGCTAACACTGTGTTTTTATTCTTCTGAATTTTTCAGGAAAAATAGTCAAACATTTGTCAATAAATGTAATTTAATGACAAAAACGTTACGGAACAAGTTATGTTCTGTTGTACTTTCACGTACCACCAGAGAGACACCCGCGCACCACCAGTTGTTTTCGTAACACACGTTGAGAATCACTTTACGACTGCACGTGATCTTAATTTTTTTTTTTTAAACCACGAAAATTATGACAAAATTGGACATTATCTGCAACAACAAAAACTAAAAAAACAACAAGAAAAAAAAAACGAAACAAAGTCCGACCTTGTCCAGGGCGCTCCTGAGGGCTACTTTGCTAGTGATGAGCCTGTGGGCCAGGTTGTCGTTCTCCTGTTCCAGACGGAGGCTGGTCTGCTGAAGACGGCGGTTCTCCATCTGCGTCCGATCCAAACGCAACACGCAGTTGGCGTCAAAAAATACAAAAAAAGGCGCATATGCTTTCTAGATGATTGGATATTTTGGGGTTTGTCTTAAATATGTCCGTTTCCGAGGGGAGTTTGGTGCTTTCCCACCTGGCATTTGTTGAGGGGGTCTTCCTCGTCCGCCTCGTCCATCAGTTGAAGGCGGCTTTCTCTCAGTTTGGCTTTCTTCGTTGGGACCTCCTGACGGAGAAACAATCGGCAATTTTTAAGGCGCACACACCCCCTTTCACACACCAAAAAGGGGTGGGGTGGGGGGGGATTGTAATTGTGGAGTTGCCGCACCTTTCCTCCCTTATCAGACTAAAAATAAATCAAAAAAGGTTGAGATGGCGCACCCCCTTTTCATCAACACACACATACAAAATGTAATTTTTGGCTGGCTTAATTTTCGCAAAAAAGCAATCAATGTAATTGCACCCCTTCTACCTCACACACTCTAAAAAGGGGGAAAGCTATGCTAGTGTAATTGTCGACCTTAGCGCACCCCCTCTCCCCACACAAACCCAAAACGACGAGCAACAGTATCATTGTTAAAGCTGCGCACCACTGCTCAATTATCACATCCTAAAAAGTTGAATAAAAACAATGCTGTGTTGGCGCACCCCTTCTCTCTTTTTCACAATAATGGAAAAAAAACAATTTCATTGTTGACTCCAACAATCAAAAAGAGGAGAAAGCGGCGTTATTGTTGAGTTGGCACACCTCTCGGTCGTCTTATTCACACCCTAAAAAAAACTCGGTATCCTTACCGCGAAGTGGGGTCCCGTTTCGGCCACCAGGCAGGCCAGGATCTCCTCCTCGGTCATTTGCTCCACCAGCTGAGCGTCGCAGGACAACGTTACCGACACCTCTTGCATCATTTTGACCCCAAAGGCTGCCCTCTGGAAAGCGAAGGAACCAGGTTCAAATCCCTCGGGTCGGTCAACCCCAAAGCGGCGGCGGTGGTGAAAGAAAAGCAGGCGGAGCGCGCTTGACGCTCGAATGAATGAAGCGGGCGGCAAAGTGGGAACAGGTTCCACCGGGTTGGGTTCGGAGGCCGAACGGAGGAAGGAGTCGCGCGGCCGCCAGCACTTCTTCTTCTTCCAGTCCCTCGTTTGCTTCTGGCACAGAATCCGACAGAACCTGCAAGACGTCTCCGCCAGGAAAGCAGTCACGTAATAATAACAACATGATGAAGATGAGGAGGAGGAGGATGAGGATCCTTCCTCGGGCTATCGAAAGTAGCATTATTATGCTAATGGCGTCCCGGCGCGCCAAACTGGTTGAGCGAGGTAAAGCGAAAGAAAAATACCAAAACATTAATTGGGGAAACACGCCCTTGTTTTGATTTAGACCGAATGTTTTGTTAGATCGTATTTACTTCCTTGGTACTTCAAGTTGAAATATAGAACTTTAGTTTTTGTTTTTTTTTTTAAATTCAAAACTAAAGTAGAATCGTGTTCCAAATACCACTTATACTTTGTATGTTATAAAAAATAAAAATTAAAAAGTGAATATCGCTAGGATTCAACACAGTTTTGAGTCCGGCACTAATTCCGATATCGCGCAGAAAAAAAAAAAAAATCAGATCAACACTTTATCGACTGATCACTTTAAAAATGTATAATGCGAAAAGAAAATCCTCGCCCTAATTTGAAACCATACCGGGAATTCTTAATTTCTCACCTGAACCCTCGCATCAAACACCACGGCGACGTCAACGTGTTGGTGCGCAACTCCCTCCTTTCGAACATCTGAGGTGCGCAGGTGCGCCAGCCGGACTCCTCCCAGCCTTTCGCACCCGGTCAATTCTTTGAGGTTACATGACTCGTCATCCTACACCCAAGCGCCGTATCAAGAAATGTTTACCGGAGGGGCTTGGCGGGTTGAAGATCTCACCTTACGCGCCGCTGTCTTGTTTGTCGTTCAGAGAATCATCCGTTGTGACGCCGGCGATTTCAAAGTGATCGGCAACCGTCAGCTACTTTATGACTTTAGATAATAATGACAGTGACAGCTGGAGATTCTGTTGAATCAACGAGAATGAAGCTCCAGAATTCCGTTCTCGATTTACGTTGATCTTTTGAACTCCTGTTCTCTCGACTTGTATTCCAGCAGAAATAAAAAGCATTTACAAAAGTCTGATTTTCAAGTCACAGTCCGACTTTATTTGACCGAAACGCACAAAACGCACGCACAGACAACACTCACACGTGTAAAATACAGATGTGTCGCTATAGATCCGGGTATTTACTGTACTTGTGGCGTGACACGATACATTCTTGATATATTTAACAGTACATATTTAAAAATCAAATCGGACGTCATTGTGGATGTAAAAAGGAAGCAGTCCCAGCATGGAAGACGTCACTTTCACGCAAAGACAAATACTCACGGCAGATGCCTTTGAAGTTTTTTTTTGATTGTTTTTTTTTTTTTTTTGTAGGACACAATAAATCAATAGTCAGCATATATTTTAGATATAAAATCTTTCCGTGTAGGAAAACAGTTAGCCCTCAATTTTATACGTGTGGATGTTGTGTCTCAGTTAACACTAGCAGGGTGTGGTGGGTAAACTCCACTGAGGTCAGGAGGGGGTCTCGAAAGACTCAAAATAGCTCACTTCACAAAATAACTGATGAAATATTAGTTACGTCACATGGTATTTAAATTTTTTGAAAATGGATGCGATAAAGAAGAGCTTAAAAAATGGTACCATCTGTTTTTAAATTTTTTTTTCTTAATTTCAAGTCGACACTGAATAGTTGCGTTCATTTGAAAATGTGTGTATGAGTGTGTCTTAATTTTTGTTAATTACCGGCATATAAAAGCCAGAACAAAGTCCATTTAGTTGCACAATGTTAACTAACCCCCCGCCCCTCCCAAAAAAAAAAAAAGAATGTGAATAGGGTACAAAAAAAATATTTGTTTATTTTTGTTACTTTCTCGGGGGAAGTAAATAGAATAGGAATGGGGGGAGGGGGCGGGAAATGGTAAGAAATAAAGCAACTGCAATTTGAACAGGATGCTAAAAACATTTTGGTGCGATGTTGATCTTACCAGCGGTTCAGTCCAGGATGCGTCCCCCCTAAAAGTCCAAAACCACATCCCTGTATGTTCATGTGGGCTGGTACCGAGCAGTTCAAAGGTCACACCTGGGTGCTGTAGGGCCTGGGTGGGGACGCCGGGCACATGTAGACCAACGGTAGCGGGGTCTCGTAATACGTATGGAAGCCCAGACGCTCGCCCCCGTTGAGCACTTGCGGGGCGGCGCGGCGGGTGTACGGCGAGCAGGCGCGGCACGGGGGGGCGGCGTCCAGCTGGCCCAAAGAGACGGGCGCGATGGCGGCCCCGTCGTTGGCCAGCGCGTCGCACGTGTCGCACGGGAAGTGGGAGAGCGGGGCGGACGGCGGCGCCGGGGCCGGGTCGGCATCTGTTTCCGCCTCATTCTTCTTACAGCAGTAATACTGTTCAGAGGACACAGGACGGTTGGCCAAATTGAATCGACGCTTTTGTCCCCAAAATTATTTTGGGTGGCTTTTCACAAAACATGACAACTTTTATTGCTGCAAACTTTTTTTTCTCTTCATATTATGACTTTTTTTTTTTCTTCAGGGGATTTTTTTTTTTTTTGGGAGCACACTAGACAATTTTTTTGTCTTATTTGTTACTTATACTGACGGTCACATCATTAGAATTGTGAACAGGTTCAACGTTGCAGCTTTATATTTGTAAAATGAAAAGCTTTTTCTCAAAAATTAGACCTTGATTTTCATTAAATCACAACTTTTTTTTCTGGGGAAATCATGGGATTATTTGTAAAATTTTCGTCATCATTTCTTAAAATATTACAACTCACTTTTTGGAAAATTATGATTTTTTTTCAATTCATATTCTCATTTTTGAGAGGTTAAAGTATGAGATTTTTAAAAAAATGTAATGACGATACTCTTATTTTTTTTATATACTGTTTCACAAAGTTATATTTCTTATATTATTATCAAAGTTGTATTTTAATGAAATTAATATCTACCTGTCAAAATTATACCACTTTATTCCCATTTAATATTTCTGCATAAATCCCTCATTGTATTGACAGAATTAGTTTTTCGCCCATAAAACTAAAACCTTTTTTTTTGTAAAATTCCCCCACAATATCACAACTTGATCCTTCTAAAATTCACTTCGCAAACATTTCACTTTTTTTTCTCAGAATATTGCAACATGATTTTCGAACATCTCAATTTTTCTCTCAAAATACCATAACACGATTCTCACAAAATTATGACTTTTTTTCTCCCCAAAATATTTATTTTCCGTCAAAATGAGGATTCTCTGTGTCGAACATATATTATATTATATTCGAACATTCCACATAAAAATAAAAATAAATCCAACTTTATATTCAGAAAATTGTGGCTATCGTCCCAAAATCGGACATCTTAAACGACAACATTTTTGTATTTACCTGTAGTCGACAGTAACAGAGGACGGCGATGATGCACAGTAGTATCACTCCGGCAAGAATTCCTCCCGCTATCACAATTGTTCCCGCTGACATTCGACCAGATCTCCATCAAACCCTGCGCACCACAGAACAGCTTTTTTACAATTTCTATAAAATACGTCTGGAAGACGGCAGGTGGATTTACATTCGTGACGGCTAACAAAGCCACTTTAAACAGTATACCGTCCCCTCCAAAAGTATTGGAATGATGGCAAGGTCACTTCTGTTATTCTTTTATCAAGAAGACGTTTTGGTTTCTTTTGAAAGCGTTTTATTTAATTTACAAACACCCCCCCTCCCCCCACACACACAATTTTAGTTTTAGTTATTTCGTTAGCTTAACCTAGGTCTGTATCTGTGTGCGGGTATCTCCTCTATGACGTCAGTCTAATCAATTATAAAGAGGCTAGTCTGCGCTAAAAGCGAGAGTGTGCCTCCTCCTCGTCTTCTTCTTTTTGTGCGGCAAAGATAAGAGCTCAAACGATGCAGTAATTATGAAGCCGCTGTGATGTATTCCACCAACACTAAAGGACTGGAGAAACGAGCCGGATAACATGCAACAGAATCAGGGCATGACAAACAGAGTCTATAGTGCATGGAGGAAAAAATAAAAATCTGCCCGCCCCCAGTTCCCTTAAAAGCCTTTTTTTTTTTTTTTTGCAATCTAACAAAAAAAAAAAACAACCCAAAAACAAGACCAAGATAAATCATTTAAAAACCTTATCCAAGTTTAAATATGAACTAATTGCCAGCACAATTAAAGTTTTTCTTAAATCTCTTTGACAGCAAAAATAAACAGCCAAGATCATGCGTTGATGTGGCTACGTTCATAATTAACTGAACACATTCAAACTCATGTTAAATGGGAGACAGCACACACTCGCGGCCATTTTAAGTGCCTCTGGTTAACCTTACATAAACTTCAGCAGTTCAAATTGTTTTTTTGTTGGTCACTTGAGTTGCACAAGTTTTAGGTCACAATAACGGTGGGAAATGTTTTGAAACAATCAATCTTGTCTCCCCTCCCGTCTTTTTTTTTTTTTTTTTACTTCACCAAAACCTGATATTTGAACAGGGGTGTGGACATTTCGATATCCGGTCTACATGACCAATTTTAACAAATTAGCTAGGTGATTATGCTTATTTTGCTTCTGGTGATGAACGTCTCTGGTGTGGTGAGTGTCGATGATGTCACCCTGTTGGAATTGTGGAGGTGAAGAGATTTCACGCTCCTCGTCGACTACACTATTTTTAGCTTGCCACTCCATAGAGGTGTCATCGTTTTTTTCATTAGCTCTCTCAGTGAGAGACACACACTCACACACGCACACGCACGCGCACTCACGCACGCACGCGCACTCACGCGCAGTAAAAGAATTGACATTTGAATAGCTATTTGAGGGGGATGATGTGAGGCAGGCGTGCTTTTGTTTTGCATGGGTATACAGCGGTGATGCAGTAGCTTGTCACCGTCGTCTGGTTGCCAAGCAACCGGCTGAGCAGCAGAAAACGCACTTGAAAGAGCTCAGTGAAAGGTGCCCCACACAGGCTGAAAAGTCACTTTTGTGAAAGAGAAATACGTCACATACATGCAACTAATTAAGGTTAGTTCACTAACAAAGTATGGATAGCTCGCAAACAAACTAATCACCTAATTGTGACCAACTAAAAGGAGTGAGGCAACAAATACCGGCAGTAACAAATAAGTTTAGCTCGGCAGCTATCAAAGTAGACGTGTGGTTTAAACTAAGTAAGGCTATGTAGCGAACAAACTAGCAAACTGAACCAGACATCAAGTTTTAATGAACCAACTTATTAACTCTATTGAAATATAAAACAAGCAATTTGATTTGAACTAATGTTACTTAGTTGAATGACATCTGTTTTCAATACTAGGTAACTAACAAACTAGCCATCTCGTTATCTAAGAAATGCTATTTGCTAACAAACGAGGAATTTGGTGTGAACTAAGTACGGCTAGGTAGCTAATAAAGTAGCCATCTAGTTTTAACTAACTAAAGCTGGTGAGCTAATGAACTATATACTTCAGCTAAGCAACTAACAATTTAGTTGTTACTAAGAAAAGCTTGTGAGCTATCAAACTAGCCATCTAGTTTTAGCTAATTGAATGTTAGGGGAACAAATTAGCAATTTGTTTTCAACAAAGTAACGCGAGCTAGCTAACGAGCCATTTATTTGTAACTAATAAGTACCGTTAGCTAATAAATACTGGTAGGCAATGTTTTAAACATCCATCCATCTGAACCGCCTAGCCTCACTTAGGCTTGTATAGTATTTTTAAAGAAGTATTTGGTAGATTTGCAGCTTCCATATGAAAAATGAACAATGCTTCACATCTCTCTACTTCTGAATAAAAGATGATAAATTGAGAATATATGACATTTATACGGTATATATTCTTCTTCTATGGAGGGCGAGAGGATCTCTCTATTCTGAAATCATGACAGGACACCAGCAAGCAGGAAATCAGGGCTGGCTGCTTTGCAATTTTAAAGCCCCACAGACCTCAATTATTCACGTGGCGTTCCCGCCGACAATATTTTTCCATCAGGGGGCCAATTTAGACAGAACAAGAAGAAGATGACAACGAAAAAGGTGAAATTGTGGCTGCTAGAAAAGTGTGGATGATTCTGAAAGCAGTGGAAAATGAAGGCCACGTGCTCGATGAGTGGTTAGTGCTTCTCCCTCACAGCTCTGGGGCTCTGGGTTTGAATCTCACGCTGTCTTGTCACAAGTTTGTTCTATATGCTATCCGTCCATCTTCCTCCACTTACCCGGTGTTGGGTCGTGGGGGTAACAGTTTTACACCAGCAACCCCGAGGCTGAGGAGTGTGATCACTCTGTAATTGCAACACACCCTGTGGTGCACCTTCTTGAAAACAGCTAACATTTGCAAAAATAATTACAGGACTCTTGATAAGGTAAACACTTTGTGGGACAGATTAAAGAATACAATGCAATGAATGTCTCCCTCTTTGCTGGCAACTATATTACATGTTTTGAAATCGTATTTCGTTAAATTTCCCCCATAATCAAAATTTTAACCCATTCTCCGGAGTCTACTCAACTAAATTATTTATATTACGCTTTTTTTATACTGAAACGTTGTTCTTTTTAATTAAGAATGGTATATACCACATAATGATTAAAATAAATATAATCCACTTGGATGTTACTTTACAGTAAAAATGAAAGACGGCAGCTAAGCACAGAGTTGCAAATCTGATGACGGGGAAATGGTAAAACGTGCGCATTAAAATGAAGTTAAGTGCACGTTACGTCACTAATTGGCCTCGTTCCGCAGCTCAAGTGGATGCGCAAACTCTAGTTATTACCTTTTTCGCGCAAAATCTCTGCAACCTGTTTCTTCTCGCAAGATCGCTCCACACGAACCAGTTGCATCCCGTCATTGCCCGCCCGCACGACATCATCGACTTCTCCTCTGCTTCAGTGCCAAGAGACGGCGAGAACCTCTGGCAAACCTCGGGGAGTCTGGCGGGAGACGAGGCGGCGGCAGGCCGACTGAGAGTGGCTCCTCCTCGGCATGGCTTCGTCTTCGCGGCCCGCTCCCTGGCGGTGGTAGTGGTAGGACTGGTGGACGCGCTGTCACTTATTCCTGGTGGTCCCGGCGGGGCGGAGTTAGGAGGAACCTGCTGGAACAAAATGTGTGACGTTGAGCAGTTGGAGGGTTCCTTTAACGCTGGCAGACCAGATTGGTGGTTATCGTTTCAATCATTCAAACGGTTGATAAACAAAACATACACAAGCAAAAATATGACCAATGTTTTATCCGATCCAGCCAAATAGCACTATCAAAACAACGATGCCACTTTAATCCTCATGAGGCAGCAATTAGTCAGTTGGAATGAAGGTAAATAGGGGTCGGGTTGGATGGGGGGAAATAGCACGTAATGAGAAATCGACTGGTTATACAAAGTAAATCTATCTATACATAAACATATACATTTACACACACGTTCATACATTTCGCGCTCACTTTTTATTTTGATAATACTGACATTTTCCATTAACCAAAAACTTTCTTCACCCGATTTCGCAAACCAAAGACCTTCAAGGATATACACACGGTACAGGCAAAACTGTTGCTCTCGTTCTGATAAATAAGAGACCAACAATGAATTCCTTGAAATGAAATGATAAGGATGGATTACGCAAAATTGCACATTGAAAGTCACTTTCACTCCCCGAAACACACAATACACAAAAATAACTACAGCGTACCTATTGTAAAACCTGGAGGAATATCCAATGTTTCTTGGATCCAATGTCTCTTGGGCTGCTTTGCTAGATCCAGCACAGGGTGTCTTCAATTCGTGCATGGGTGCAATTAAACCGAATAATTGCTGGGTCTGTCTGTTACGGTTAGAGGGTGCCACCTGGTGGTTGAATGCGTCCGCTTTGTAGCTAGCACAGCAATGCTAAAGGTGGGCTTGATGGGGAGGTGGAAGATTATCATGGCGAGGGAATTAAAAGTTAGATGACGCACCCCACTCTGTACACACACACACACACACACACACACACACACACACACACACACACACACACACACCCACACACACACACAGGTTGA